GTGCTGAGGGAGCACCGCACTGTCGGAGGGTCAGTGCTGAGGGAGCGCCGCACTGTTGGAGGTTCAGTGCTGAGGGAGTGGGCACTGTCGGAGGGTCAGTGCTGAGGGAGTGGGCACTGTCGGAGGGTCAGTGCTGAGGGAGCGCCGCACTGTCGGAGGGTCAGGATAGGGAATGGGCCAAGAGTGGAGGGTGGGGGTGGGGTGGAGCAGGGGGGAGTTGGAAACGTCACTGGGAATAAGGTGCGTCCTGTCAGAGGTATCTCAGGCCTGTCAACAAAGACAAGTCAAGACAGGCCCTGATGCTTGGCACCTTATGTCTCTGTTCTCTCTCCCATTTGTGTGTTGTCTCAGGTCCAGGAGCTGACCCCAGGGGTGGGAGGCCGTCCTCACCCAATCCCCTCCCCCCTCCCCCCTCACCCTTGCAGGACAGGCCTACTCCACATCCTTGTCTCCCCCTCAAGCCCCTGTCCCTCGAGGATCCCAGGGAGTACAGGGTTAAAGGTCAAGCTAAGCTGGCAGGCTACACCCCCCCCCCCCCCCCCACCCCACACCCAAGGGTTGTAGTGTTTACACAGAGATAATGGTGACAAATTAGATCACCAGGGCGTTTTTTTTTAAAAGCTCGGGGAGCCTGCCTTTTGAGGGCAGGATTTTCTGAGCTCACACCTGCCTCTCTGTTTACCTAGCGTGCGATAAAGGAGTGTCGCTCTCTCTCGCTAACCACAAAAACTCTCTTGTGTTTGAGGCCCTGCTAGGCCGGCGTTGCCACGGCGACGGCAGAGGGACTGCGGCTTTCCCCACAGGGGGGCTGCCACCATCAAGAAACGAGGCCCAGTCGGCAAGGAGAAGGGATTCCTCCGTTTCCAAAAACGCCCCGCCAGCGTTTGGTTACTGGGCCTGCTGGGCGAGGCTAGGGGGGCTTTTGTAGGCCTTGGTGGGTCATCGCTGGTTTGACACCTTCCCCTCAAGCTTCTCCCTCGTGGGATTCCTCACTGAGAAGGCCTATCGACCCATCGGATATCCGTGTTGCTAGCCTTCCTCAGGATCAATCCCTGAATCTAAACGCCAACCTCACACGCCCCACCCCCCACCCCACCACCTGTCCTGCCCCCACGCACCCCTGCCCACTCCCCCTTTTTGTGAAAGTAGGAACATTCACTGCACGTAAAGAGGCCATTCGGCTTGTCTTGGCCGATGCACGTACTAGCAGGCCCAATCCCACTCAGTCCATATCCCCGAGGTCACTACACCCTAGGGGGAAGCGGCATGTCCATACGCCCTTTGAATGGATCAGGGCTGGGGGAGCTCACCGTCTCTTCTCCCCTCTAAGATGGTGACTCAAGACACCCTCTGAGTGGGAGAAAGGCTTTTCCTCATCTCAGTTCCTCTCTCTCCCAACCGCTCCCATCGCCCTTCCCGTTCACTCCATCCCGATCTCCCTCAACCTCTTCAATCCAGTGTCCTCTTAGACTCCTCTGTTCTGAGGGGAACAGGCCCAGGCCTACCCTCCTAGCTGTGTGTGGCAACATCCTCATAAATCTGAAACCCCCCCTTCACACCCATCCACCCACCACACCCCTATAGGGGACTGCACAGAATGGTCAGCCTGGGGTCTAGCTAGTCATTTCCTTGGCTCCAGGCTCATCTCCAGATTGTATCCTGGATCAACAGAGGAAAATGATGTTTGAATCATGGTATCAACTTGTCCAGAGATCTAAGAACCAAGGCCCCTCACTCCCACGCCACCGCCCACCTGTGTTCATCGTATTTTCCTCCCCCTCCCCAAATTCATCGCCTTGCAATCCCCCGCATCACCCCAACTTTCACAGAGCAGTTCGTTGTAAAATCTCCTCATCGTGGCCTGTTTTTGTGCATATCTTTTGACCAGGCCTCCTAAATTTAGGTGCAAAAGGTTGGCGGCTATTGCAAAATACTGGGCCTGGCTGAAACCACCTGGAAATAATTTTATATTCACAAAAGAAAACCCACAGTCTTTGATTCCTACCTCTGAGCTCCTTTGGTACACTTTGGAACGTTCCCTGTAAATCCTGTGGGCCTTTATTTATTCAACCAGTCTGCCACATGAGTCCTTTCCCGACAATGGGAAAAACCAGCATTACCCTCACCAATCCTCCTTGTTATCTCCTGGGAAACGATCAACAACGTTGGTCAGGCATGATCTTCGCTTGACAGATCCATCCTGACTGATCCATGCCTGTCTGCTTCTCCTGTCTCTCAGAATCGATTCCAATACTTTGCACGTCTCCAAAGAGAGGTCATGGGTGGCACGGTGGCTCAGGGGTTAGCACTGCTGCCTCACGGTGACAGGGACCAGGGTTCGAACCCACCCTTGGACGACTG